GTGGCCAGTGTTCTACAATCCATGTTTGTCCATGTGGCTTTTGACCCAGTGAAATGTGGCTAGTATGGCTACCAAACTGTATTCATTTCTAACTGATTTAAACCTGAATGGCATAGTCACATGTGGCTCATAGCTACCATATTGGACAGCACAGGTTCAGACCTTTTCAAACATCTTCCCAATTGTGTGAGGGAAAGGATCCACAGACTGTTATCCTGGACGTTTCATCTCGTGCGGACAAGGAAAGGAGAACTCAGCAGAGGGCTGACCCAGCCCAGATCCATCTTTCCTCCATGATCCTCAGTCCACTGTGCCTCCTGCTGTAGCTACGACCCCTCAGGCCTCCAGCTAGTGTCCATCTGTGGCCAGCTGACTCTTTAGCTTATGCTGCATGGTCCCTAGCTACCAACATAGCCTGAAATTGGAGTCAGTAAGCCCAACCCGGAATCTGCAGAGTGTTATGTGTGGTGAGGCCCCTGTGTCACACCCCTAGCTTCTAATTTCCAGGATCCTGGGTGGTCATCTCTGGAGGGATGCTTAGGAACTGTGGATGAGCTAAACTGTGGATGATAAGTTTGGGGTGGCAAACATACCCAGAACCATTCTCCACATGCCCTAGCAGACATCAATGATCCTCATGGCCACTACCCTCATTCCAATCTGTCTTCTTCCACAAGCTACTGCACCAGCTCACCCTAGCCTCTGCTCCTCCAGACCGTCTCCCCATACCCCAGCATCCACTAGACCATGCCTTACATGCATAGCTGGAGTGCTGGCCTGCTCCCTCCTCACTAGGTACCCTCGACAAATATCTTCCTTTCACTGGCCCTTGAGGGTTGTTGGGTTTTTGTTTTGTTTGGTTTTTGCTTATAGAAGTTAGTAAACCTTACAGTGGTAGATATCCACCACACCTAATAAGAGCCCTATTCCAGCCGGGCGGTGGTGGCGCACGCCTTTAATCCCAGCACTCGGGAGGCAGAGCCAGGCGGATCTCTGTGAGTTCGAGGCCAGCCTGGGCTACCAAGTGAGTTCCAGGAGAGGCGCAAAGCTACACAGAGAAACCCTGTCTCGAAAAACCAAAAAAAAAAAAAAAAAAAAAAAAGCCCTATTCCAACATTCAGGGCAGGCATTACTAATGGATCGCAGCCTTCTTTCATGCTGAATTGAGGTGTGATCTTAAACTCTTTCAGTAGATTAGTACAGACAACAAGATTCAGTCTTGTTAGCATCCTGTAATATCCCAGCACTCTTCTCATTGTAGATGGAAAAACTGAGGCCCACCGAGATAAGAGGGGCTGTTTACTTAAGAGCCTGTCTGTGCCCTGAGTGAGGTGGAAGGAGGAGACAGGCTAAGATCAGGCAGGAAAACCCTCCAGCCCCGAAGCTGAGTAGACCAGCAAAGACTGGCAAAGTGGGCCTCTGATGCCTGCCTCTGTCTGGACAGGTCCGGGAGGCAGATCTGAGTGACCAGTACGAGGCAGCCTGTGAGTCAGCCTGCAGTGAAGCCGAGTCTACAGCGGCAGAGGCGCTTGATTTGCCGCTGCCCAGCTACTTCCGCTCACGCAGCCACAGCTACCTTCGAGCCATCCAGGCGGGCTGCTCGCAGGAGGAGGACAGTGTCTCCCTGCAGTCCCTCTCCCCACCACCCAGCACCGGCAGCCTCAGCAACAGTCGCACGCTTCCAAGTGAGTACCGGAAAGCAGGAGGGTTGGTGTTTTTGTTCCATTTTGTATTGTTTACAAGGAGAACATGGGAACTGTTCAGGTGGGCAGCCTGGGGAGATGCTGGGGAGGAACCCATAGGTCACCACAGAAAGAATGGTGGAGAACAAAAGGTGGCCTTGACGCTGAACTTCCCACTGGCAAACTGAAACCTAAACAGGTGGCAGAAACAGACTGTCCAATGGGCAGATGATGGGGAAGTCTGGAACCCTGGGATCCCTGGCTGCTTTCTGCATAGACAGCCTCCTGATGGTAGGCAGGATTTACTAAAAGCAAAATACCACTTCAGATTAGCTGTAGATAAACCTGTAGGGAGGGCAGGAAACTTCAGGGATGACAAGAAGAGTGTAATGAAGGGTTAAATCTACTCCCAGCCTTCCCAGTGGGATGAGTTTATCCCTCATATTCACAGTCAGGATGGCCTGGCCTTCCTCAGATTGTTGGACTTCTCTGAAGATGAGAAAACTAGGAAGTCAGACCAAGGGAAAACAGTACAAAGTCTGGGTTAGTTAGACAACCTTGAGTTTGCCTTTCTAGTCCTTCTTCCTAGGCCCCATTTCCCCATCTCTAAGGCAGCCCCTAGAGAGTCCTGGGGTACTGAAGACTGCAGGAAGCTCACCTGCCATACTCAGCATGCACAGATCCTAACTGAACACCATCTGCTGGGATGTGACAGACAGTGTTGTCATAGCTGCGTCTCAGCCTCAGCTTTGGCCTTGTGTGATAACAGAGGGCAATGGGGTTGAACGGGGTAAGAAAAGATGGTTGCTTCAAGTGCTCAGCTGGGGTGTGGTGTCACAGAGATGTACACAGGTAACCCACATCCTGGTCTCTCCAGGGAACAGAGCAGAAAGAGTGGTCCCACTTCACCGCCATATGCTCCCCAGACATCCCATCCCGCCACTAGTGGGTATCCAAGGGCAGATCCCTAAACTCTGGCCACTTGTAGACCTGAAGGAAGAGCCTTGTTTTTATGTTAAGAGTCCAGTCTACTGCAGTCTCAGGACTGCAGACTAGTCTGTCCCACTCTCAGGCAGCTGTGCCAGGCTCCTGCTATACCTGGAGAACCCTGGTGGGGAGCTAGGTGTCCTGGTTGGTGTCTTCCTCGATCTTGTTCACTGCTGTTCTTTCTGGTTCTACTGGTTCTGGGACTGCAAACAGCTGAAGCCACGGGGTAGTGTGGCTCTGATTTTTTGTCCTATCTGGAAGGGGCTTCCTGGTACCTTCTTTCTGGGCATGAGCCATGCTGCTTCCTACCCCCCTCAGCTTCCCATCTGGTGGTTCTTCATCCCCACTCAGCCTTTTTGCTGGGCAGTTTGCCCTAGGACAGAGCCCTCTGAAGACAACTGCAGCCCCACCCCCACCCCATGACCTTTAACCTGTGTGAAAAGCAGCACGGTGCCTCCTAGAACGTGGAGTATGGACCACTCCACGAGTGCCTTCCCTCTAGACCAGCTGTTGTCCAGCCGGCCAGCTCCTCCGCTTTAGAAGTCTCCAGGCTGGGGTGGGGACTGCCATTCTATGGCTTTGGAATTCTTGAATTTGGAATCCAGACAGCTCTGCCAGGCTGTCCTAGAACTCTGCTGCAGTCCCATGGAAGTTTCAGGTAAAGATCCCATTCTCTACATTCTCATGCCCCTGAGAAGTTGTTAAAGAATGAGATGGGCTTAGAAGGACACAAAGCATCCACAGAAGCATTCACTGCAGATACACCCTCACTCACCAATTTCCTGCAACCCCCATCACTCACGAGTGAACAGCCTGAAGATTCATGATAAGTGTGCATTCCAGAAGCAGGTGGGCCCCTCAGTGGCTTAGCTCTCGCCTCAATAACACTGCACAAGAAACATAATACAGCAATGGACATTCCCAAGTTTGTCGGTCTCCCAGTCTTCTCCTGAGACCCGAGGTCCTCCTGGGATCAGTGGTCTAGCCAGGACGTGTTCATCTCCTGAAGAGGGCAGAAGGCAGGCGAGCAAGCCTGACTAACAGTCCCAGCACATTCAAGGTTCAACGTAAGCAAACATCCATTGGCTAAAAGCACGTTGGCAAACTGAGCTCTCAGTCAAGGGTGAGGACCTTCTCACTAGTGTAGAGAAGACAGTCCCTATGGCAAAGGATGTGAATACAGCCAGGGGTGAAGAACGGGTGGCAATATTTCAGTCTGCTGTATCCCACACCTGAATCCATGCCTCTCTCATAGTGAAAACACTTATCCTACCCAAGAGCTCCCAACGCTTCATACAGCCACAGTGTCGATCCATGATTTGTGCCACATCTGGTTGTAGCTCCTCTTCACCCATCACCTGGGATCTCAACACCCCTGTTACCCTCCCTGTAGCCCAACACCCTCTTCCCCCAGTGAAAACTTGACTTAGCAAAATATGGACAAGACAACTGCCGCTTATACTCTGTTCAAAAAAGAGAGACCAGGGATTCAGGGACATACTGACTCAAGGTGATTCTGAAATCCTTTTGGACAACCTCATGAGCACATCCTTTGAGATAAGTGAATATTCCTGAAGATTTCCTACACTGAGTTCATATTTATCAACTCTGGGCTTCAGCCTACTTCCTCCCTAGGACAGTGGAAGGGTACATCTACTTTAGCCAAAGCTGATTGGCCTAGCTCAAACACATTTAATTCACTCAATTTAATTTCATGTAACTCTTTATGCCAAAGTCATATCCACAGCCACTTTTGAGTTAGGCCTCTCTTTACTTAATTATTCCTACTTTGGGCACATCAGGCTTCTGTGGGACCATACCACTGAGCTTTATGATAGCTCCTTTGACCACCTGAGAAGTGTGTGTGTGTGTGTGTGTGTGTGTGTGTGTGTGTGTCTGTGTGTCTGTGTGTCTGTGTGTGTGCGCGCACGCGCGCACATGTATGCATGTGCCTGCTTTCTGTATATGCACTACATGCATGCAGGTGCCCATGGAGGCCAGAAGAGTCTGTCAGATGCCCTGGAACTGGAGTTACAGCCAGCTGTGAGGTACCAATGTGGACACTGGGAAACAAACCCCATCCTCTGTAGGAATAGCAAGTGCTTTTTTTTGAGATGGGGGTCTCACTATGTAGCTCTGAATACTCTGGAACTCCCTATATAGAGCAGACTGGCCTTGAACTCACAGAAAGCAGCCTGCCTCTGTCCCTGAGTGCTGAGATTAAAGGCCTGCACCATTGCACCCAGCCTGTGTGGTATTTTAACAGGTAGTGACTTTTGATCTTTATCCCAGGCTTTATCTTAATTTGAGAATGATCTACTGGCTGGAGACTGAAGTTGACAGATTTATTTTCCAACTCAGCAAGTTCTAGGCTCTTCCTATTTTCTCTAAGTGTCCCTGACAGACAGATTGACTGTTCCTTTTGTGAGTTCTTCTCTCTTTAAAGTCCTTATCCAAAGGAGCCAGCTCTTGCCCGTGTATGTGCTCACTTACGTCACTATACGTGACTTTCACGGAGGGTTCTGACCCACACAGACCCCAGGCATCTTTTTCAAGCCTGCTCTGGGAGTCTCTCATTACTTCCTCACTGCTTGGTCCTGGAGCAGTGTGATACTCTTGGTTCTTACTGCAGTCACCCTCTACCTTGCGCACCATCTCAGTACTGCTGTGGAGCGAACAGTGAGGAACAGCGATAAGTCCTTATTCATGAGTTTGCAGGTCAGCTGGCGTGGCTCCATGTGTCCTATTCCCTGGGCCCAGAGGCTGTTCAGGAGTCAGTGTCCCAACCAGGCCATGTCCTTCCCGTGGAGGTGGCAGAGGATAGGAAGACAACCTCATTTTGTAACACATTTCAAGTCTCTTGGTTTCACATCTGCAAATAACCAGTTGATCAAAGCAAGTTGCTGCTGATCCAAAGCTGATGCCACAGAGCTTCTATGAGATATAGCAAAGGGCATGAATACAAAGAAGAATTGAGAACTGAGATCATTGATTCAATCTCAACCTCAGTATCTCCATCCACCCATCCATCCACCCATCCACCCATCCGTCCGTCTGTCCGTCCATCTCTCTAGTATGAAAATGGGTTTGGAAGGATGGCTCAGTTGGTAAAGTGCCAGCTGTGCAGGCACGAGGACCTAAGTTGATCACCAGTACCACGGTGGGGAAAGCCAGGTGTGGTAATATGCCTGTCTTAGTGTTCTATTGCTGTGACAAGACACCATGACCAAGGCGACTCTCTTTGTTTGGAGATGGGGAGTGGTTCTTGACAGGGTTTCTTTGTGTAGCCCTGTCTGTCCTGGAACTCACTATGTAGATCAGGCTGGTCTCTAACTCAGAGGACTGCCTTCCTCTCTCTGCCTCCCAAGTGCTGGGATTTAAGGTGTGAACCACCACCATCTGGCTCAAGGTGACTCTTATAAAGGAAAACATTTAATTGGGTCTTGCTTACAGTTTCAGAGGCTTAGTCCATTATCACCATGGTGGAGAACATGGTGGCAAGAAGGTAGGCATGGTGCTGGAGAAGTAGCTAAGAGCTTTACATCCTGATCTTAGGCAGGAAACAGAGGGGGGCGGGTATTGGGTCTGGCATATACATTTGAAACCCCAGTGACACACTTCCTCCAACAAAGCCATGTCTATTCCAACAAGGCCACACCTCCTACTACTTGTAATCCTTCTCTAACAGTCCACCAACTAGGAACTAAGTATGCAAATGTATGAGCCTATGAGGACCATTCTCATTCAAACCACCATAGCCTGTAATCCTAGCTCTGGGGAGACAAAGACTGGATCCCTCACCAGTCACACAGCCTAGCCAAATCAGTAAGTTTCTCAAAAATCAGGTAGAGACTGAAAATGACACCCAACATATACATACCCACCCACATGTGCATGTGCACACACGTGAATAAGTGTGTGTATACACACAAAGTTCTGAAGACACATATATACTGGCACTCACATATTTACATGTGTACACCCTAATTCAACATACCCCTGTCACACAAAGTACATGCCTGTGTGTCTCCATCAAAGCTCACACCCACACACCTGTGAGGAAAGCATGCCTTAGTAGACTGACACTCCAAGTTTTCCCACTGGCCTTCACTGTAGATTCCAGTGACAGTCACATACCTGCTCCTGCTTGTCCTCTGCTCCTCTCTTGCTCAGCAGGTAAACTCACATGCCACCTAGGAAAACCAAAGCCACCAGATTTTCAGGTCTCTGGTGAGAGCTGCAGCTGGTCCATGTGGTATTTTTCCTTCACCACCATCTACTGAAAAGTCACCACGATGCAGTTTCTATTGGAATTAGAATAAGTTCTTTTACTTCCACCTGCCAGAAACTACATCTGTATTGTTTGTGATTAGACCCAAATGCCCAAATGGGGCATCTTTTTAAATTTTTTTTTATTTTGGTTATTTTAGACAGGGTTTCTCTGTGTATCCCTGGCTGTCCTGAAACTCTCTTTGTAGACCAGGCTGGCCTCGAACTCAAAGATCCACCTACCTCTGCCTCCTGAGTGCTGGGATTAAAGGCATGAGCCACCACACCTAGCTAAAATGGAGTATCCTTAATCAGTGTAAAACTTGTACAACCATACATGGCAACCCTGCCTGTCATCACCCCCTCTACACAGACACACACCAACACATAGCCACTGTCTCCCACTCAGAAGGTTCCCCTCCTTCCCACCCTGCCCACCCCCCTTTGTTCTGAGCCTGTGTTGCTGAGAGGCATATAGCTCTTTGTCCCTCTCCCTCTCCCCTCCTATGCTCACAGACCAGATGCAGGCAGGTGGGAAGATGCGGGTACAGGGTGTCTACTGAGGCAGTGGGCGCCTAGCAGAAGCCGCTGCTCCAGAGTGGCGGAGCCAGGGCATGCGGCTGCCCACCCACTACTCACTGCTGGCAGCTTCCCAGCTCCACCGCCAGCACCGCCATCCTCCCTCCCCCTTCCTGACCCAGTTTCCACATTCCAGAAATAGCTCTGGCAGGTGACTGGCAGGCGGGTCATCCGTGGCTCAACTGCCACTTGTACATGCCCCTCCCCAGCCAGAGGACACCTGGGAAGGGACCTGAGGGCCATGATGTGACCCTGTCGTCTGCCTCGGATCCTGTTGCCTCTCCTCTCGCCATGCCTCTGAGAGGAAGCCAGAGCAGTGACAAGGCTCCCTCCCATCTCTTCCCTCAGCCCCCCACCCCAGTCTTTGCCTTCTGTTTCTCCCTCCACCCTCTGTCTCTCTTCCTTTCCCTCCTCTGAGCTCTCAGTTCTGGGCTTGCCCCCCCCTCCCTTCCACGTCTTCCCACTCCCTCTGAATCACGTCGCACAGATTCAGAAGCCGAGACACCACACAGGGACCTCAGCAAGTGGCATGGGGGTGGGGGACTACTGTGTGGCACCCTGATCCTGCCAGTTACATTCTGTCTTTAAATGTGAACACAGTGCAGGAGAGAGAGGGTGTACACACACACACACACACACACACACACACACACACACACACACACACACACGCAGACCTAGGCAGGCTTAGGGTCATTCTCTGCCCACACTGGAAGCTCTAGGCTGAGCTGGCTAAGCTCCAGTCCAGAAAATATTCCTGCGTCCTGCCCGGAGGCCCAGAGTTCCTGTTTCAGTGCTACTGTGTCACTCTGAAAAGGCACCTGTCCCTCCCGGGCCTCCTGATGGTGATCTAGACCTTGGGTGTGAGGAACGGTCTTGTCTGTAACCATCCAAGAAAGAGAAGCCACTTTTTTTCCTCTCTTTTTGTCCCTTCTCCCATCACTTAGAATCTGGTTTCCATGATTCCTTTTCCTTCCCCTGCACATATACACAGGAAGGGAGGCGAACAAAAGCCCTCAGTTTTAGCTGGGTGGTGGCGGTGTATGCTTTTAATCCCAGCACTCCGGAGGCAAGGCAGATGGATCTCAGTGAGTTCGAGGCCAGCCTGGTCTACAAAGCAAGTTCCAGGACAGCCAGAACTGTTACATAGAGAAACCCCATCTCGAAAAACAAACAAACAAACAAAATCTCTCAGTCTTGTCTCCCAAGCCTAGTCTACCCTAATCTTTGGTTATTCCACTGCAGATCCCTGTCAGCTCAGCCCATCCAATCCCCAGACTGTCGGGCAAACATTCTGTGATTTGTGTGTCATTTCTGGTCCCTGGAGCTAAGGATTGAGATTTAATCTGAGTTAAGAAGATTAAATGTGCCACCATGAATTAATGATGTCTGCAATGGCCAGAGTTACACAAACCTGCCATTCCTGACCTAACCCAGTTACACACACACACACACACACACACACACACACACACACACACACCTCAGATTAGGCGTGGGGTGGGTGGTTCACAAAGCCGCTGCAGCCTAGAGGAAGTGTCATAGTCAAGGTCACTCAGCAAATAGGTCAAGGAGAAAAGTTTCTCAAAGCCTTGAGTTCTTCATTGTCATGTGGGATTAGGAAGGAAGCAACCCAAGGACTTGACCAAGAGCAGGAGAATCATCTGGCAGGCAGAGCAGGATTAGAGGCTGCCACACTGGTCAGGCAGGGGACGGTGGCCCCATCAGGGCCATAGGGTCAGAGGTGATAGGATTCAGGAGGCCTTCCCCAGAAGATTATCAGTATTTCCTACTGCTGAAATAGGCGTCTCTCCTGACTGGGTAGAAGGCAGGCTCTCTCCTTGGGTTCTACCATGCCTTTGTCCCTGATATTCCTAGGTAACTGAGTGCCTACTATGAGCAGCTGAGTGCACAAATTATCACTCATCAAGTTTTTGGTTTTTGGTTTTTTTCCCCCGAGACAGGGTTTCTCTGTGTAGCTTTGGTGCCTGTCCTGGATCTCGCTCTGTATACTAGCCTGGCTCTGCCTCCCGAGTGCTGGGATTAAAGGCGTGCCCCACCACCGCCCGCAATCCAGAGAAATACGATCCAGACCTGAGGACTGATGAGCAGGCCTCCAACTCAGAATTGAAACTTTTAGGCCAAACAAGAGAGGGGCATCCCGTCACCCTAGAGGCAGAGCAGTGCATGAGTCTACTTTCTATCACTGGGATCAGCACCATGCCAAAATTAATTTAGGGAAGAGCAGGTTTATTTCATCTTACCCTTCCAGGTCACAGTCCGTCATTGAGGGAAGTCAGGGCAGGGACTCAAGCAGAGGCCACGCAGGAAGACTGTTTACTGGATTAACTCTCGCTGGCTTGCTCAGCTACCTTTCATGCATAACACAAGGAGCCCATTGTGGGCTTTTAGCCCAGCACACAGTTCCTAACCACTGGGTGGCTTAGCAGTTCCTAGTCGTTCCTCTTCCCCATTCCCTGCTCCAGCATTGTTAGCTTAACACCCATGGGGGAGGGGGAGGGGCTCAGTCAGGTTCATGCTGTGGATTTTAAGTATTGATATAGTTTCAAAACTGAAGCTGGGTGTGATGGCGTACGCCTTTAGTCCCAGCACTTGGGAGGCAGAGGCAGGAGGATCTCTGTGAGTTAGAGGCCAGTCTGGTGAGCAACGGCCAAGGCTACATAGAGAGACCCTGTCTCTAAAAAAAATTTTTTTTAAATTTTCACTTCTCTAGCTGCCAGTTCTGCCAGGACAACAGCTATCTGGAAAGAACCCTTTACCAGAAGCCCAGGCTCCCATAGGAGGATCTAAGGCCTGCCTGTCAGCCCTACACCTCAGGCCTGGGTCCAGCCAACTCCACTTTGCAGGGAGGCTAGCCTGACTTGGAGCCCCTGGGCAAGGACCCAGTCACTACACAGACGGTTCCCTATACACACTGTACAGGACCCGAAAAGATCACCATCAGAAGTGTGCTGGACTTCCTCCAGCACCAAGGTCTCAGATTTAGTGACATCCAAATTGAAGCTGCCCATGAGTTCTTCTTTTCAATCCAGTGAGCTGGATTCAGAGGGTCAAAGACTCCATTGTTTCTGCCTCATTTCTCTCCAGGGGACATACGGGACCCACAAGTCCCAAAGAGAAAAGGGGACTTGCCCAAGGTTATACAAGGAGTGTGTACTGAATTGGAAGAATAGAGGTGAGATAAAGAGATCTCATGGTGGGTTGGCTTGGGGCGTCAGAGTCCATCAAGAATTGACTTTGCTTTTTCCTAAGTCAAGCAAATGAAACTGAATAGCACGGTATAGCCAGCTACTGCTTTTAAAGTGCTTAGCACAGTGCCTGGCATCAAATGAGCTTGTTGCTCTCTTCATCCTTATGTCTTAATGCAAAGGGAGGACGTCTACTGGAAACAGTGTTACCTTTTCATTCCTCACAGCCTTCCATAAGATCCAGACGAAGAAAGCAGGCAACCGGCTTGTCTCAGCCACCCGGCAAGATCTGTCTGTGCCTGGCAAGATCTGTAAGCAGAGTGCCAGGTCTGCGGGAAGGGAGGGGACTCACTCAGGGAAGAAGCAGGAATGGGTTCGTACAGCATCGTGTGCTTTTGTCACATTTTACAGAGAATGACAGGCACGGAAAAGTTGATCATCGCTCCTAAGGTCACACAGGTGTGATACTGAACTCATCCTTAGGATCCTTGGAAGCACATCCGGGGATGGGAGGAGGGGCAACTAGAAACTGCTAGGCTGCTGAGTAGCTAGAACCTGCGTGCAGGACGAAAAGCCCACAGTGGGCTCCCTCCTCGGCCTCAGTTTCCCTACCCACAGCAAGGCGTCTCTGCCAGGGTGGCCCGCACGGACCCCGGGCCGCTCCGCCTGCTGTACAGACCGTGCGTTGCGTTCCAGCTGGAACCGGTTTGGCGGGGCGGGCGGTTCGAGAGGGCGGAGCCCCCCAGCTCGGGCATGCGCGAGCCGGCGTGGGCGCGCACTCCCTTTCGGGGCAGGCGGGCCAGGGCGTGGGCCGCGCGGGACGCGTGCGCGCCTGCGCAGCTTCCCCGGCTGCGCGCGCCCCCTGGTGGCCCCGGAATCCCGGGCGGCGCGCGCGCGCGGCTGACGCGAGGGGCGGGGCCGGCGCGGGGCTTTAACCCGGAGGCCCCGCCTCTCGGGCGTACAAAACCGGAGCCTCGGGCCGGGCCGCGTGAGGGAGGAGGGTGAGTGCCCGCCACTGGCCGCAGCTGCCGCCAGTCCGTCCGTCACTCCGTCCGTCTGTCCGACCCACGTCGCCGCCGCCGTCGCCTCCTCAGCCCGGACGCCCGGGGCCCGCCCAGCGCCGCCCGGAGCAGCCGCGGCCCCGCGAGGAGACGGGCGCCGCCCCCGCCCGGCCCTGCCCTGCCCTGTCTTCCCGTCTGTCCGTCCGTCCGTCCGTCCGTCCGCCCGCGCTTCCGTCCTTGTGTCGGGCCGCCGGCCCTCCGGCCCGTGTCCCCGCTGCGCCCGCTTTGTCTCTCCCTAGCTCGCTGTCTCTTTGTCTCTGCCCTCGCGCTCTCGGCCCCTCCCTCGCTCCGGGATCTCGGGTCCCCTTTCCCAGCGCTCCTCTCCTCGCTCACAGCCACGGGCTCTGGCACCCCCATTCTTCGGGACACCCCGCCCCCCAGATCTTTTGGGGCCTCACCTTCAGAACACGCTCCACTCCCCCAGGCCTCCCCTGAGCTTACCACACATCCTTTGGGGGTCCTCCTTGATCCTTGATTCCTGGGGGTTGCCTCCACCTACTCCATATTTCCCCAGGGGTTCCCTCTTCTCTGGGGCCTCCAGAGAACCTTCTGCATCCCTTAGTGGTTTCCTTGAACCCCAATATCTCCCCAGCTCCCTAACTTCAGAGCCACTGTGCCTCTCCAAATTTGTCCGCGGTGGCTGTCACTGCCTCTCCTTGTTGTCCGAGCGCCCCACTTCTCTGGACCCGGTCCCCCGCCTCGCTCTCCCTGCCTCTCTTCCGTGCATCTGTGTCAGTGTCTCACTGCTCTGTCTCCGGCGTTGACGGCCTCCCTCTGAGCCTGCTCCCCTGCCGGGGGCAATCTTGCTCCCTTGCTTCTCTGCCCGACCTCCTGTCACCCCTTCTCTCTGCTCCTTGTCTCTCCCTCTCCCTTTTCTGTCTCTGCCGGGTCTCTGGGTCTCTGACCCCCATCCGGCCCTCATGGCTTTGTGTCTGGAGCTCTTGAAGCAATGTGAGTGGTGGGGTGTCCGGGTCGGGCCGGGCGGAGTCATCCCGCAGGCTGGCCGCGGCCGAGGCTCCATGGGGTTGGCGCTGGGGCAGGGGCTGGCGCTGGGGCAATGAGGCTTGGGGCCTCCAGACCAAGGGAGACAAGGATGGTGGGGCCAGGCTGTCTGGCGAGTGGGGAAGAGGGGAGCCTTCCTGCTCCGAGGCTTCTGCTTTAGTTGCTTGAGTGTGTGGAGGGCGCCCTGGGCTGGGTATCCCTGCTGGCTTGGCCCTGCATGGCCTGGCACTTTGTGATTGCTTGTGGGCAGGCCTGGGCTATTTTGGAGCCTACCGCAGGATGTGATATCACTTGGGCGTTTATTTAGACCCAGCTGGGGGTGGGGGCTGCGTTCTTGCCAACTTGAGTAATGAAATTTTGCAGGGAGGGGGTGTGGCCTCTTAGGCAGCTGGGCTGAAGGGTTGTGGTCAGAACTTTTTAGGCTACCCTGAGTGGGCAGGTGAACAGAGGTCTGTGAAACTTGGTCTTGCTAGGACGAGGATGAATTGGAGAGGAATTGACCTTACTATGACCACCCTTGATTATTGTGTTGGATGTCTAGACTCTGAATTCTTGGTTGTACCAGCTTCAAGGGGGTTGACTTTGGATGAGACCCTTGGACTCTCTAAGTCTCAGCTGTCCCGTCCGTAAAAGGGGTCATGGGGGAGGCTCCAGGAGTTGTCATGAAGATCAAGTGAAGCATCTTTAGACATGCTTTGTAAATTGTCAGCCTGCCTTGAAACGGCCCCAGGGAGAGAAGCTTTCCTGAGAGGGCACACAGCTGGTGCCTGCAGAGCAGGGAGAGGCCCCAGACTCAAGTCCACTCCTACCAGTTAAGAAGTGTACCCACCTTTCCAGAATCCCCAGTGCCGTTTTGCTCTTCCTCAGTCTGTAAAGAGAAGTGGGTGTGCCCAGAGAGGTGCCTGTGCTGGAGAACACTCAGATCTTCTGTGGGCCGTCTACTGTTTAAAGTTGAACCCTGCTTAAAGTCAGCCAGTATGAGGTTGTGAGCCACAGCTGCTTTTCTCTGTGGTGGACAAAGGTCCTAGTTGAAGGGTTCCATTGAGAGCTGGGGTCTCCGGTCAAGGGCCCTAGAATGTTCTAGAATCTTGGAAGAGGGAGTGAGACCAGATTTTGTAGTCCCTGGTTCTTACAGATGAGGTCAGTCAAGAAGAGTCAGGATGCATGGAGGCTTGAACCCGTGTCCTGTCCATGGCCCTGCCTCCGTCACTGCCTTGCTGGTGTCACCAGTGGTATCTGACAGTGTAGGCAACCTTGGGGAACAACCATCTGTATCACAGAGGGGACAGTAAGGCACAAGTATAATAACAATTTCTAACACCCATGGATCTTTTTCTATGTGCCTTGTACTAGGCACAATCCATGGGTTGCCTGCATTTGGGAGGTAAAAGGGCTTGATACCTGGCCCAGAAGTGAAGAAGTCAAGATTCCAATCCGCACATCTCAGGTGGGGACCCTCCCTAATTAAATTGGAATAACAAGTCTTGTCCTAAGATTAATTCTAAAATGATAGAATCCTTTAAAAAAAAAAAGAGGGGGTTGCAAGGCAGAGTGCCAAGGTTCTGTTCTCAGTTCTGGTGCTAAGCTGCTGTGTGACTTCAGACAGTTGTCTCCTGGTGGTTCTCTGCTCTTCCCTCTGAAGAATGGGGGAGTTGTTTGGATCAATCTCTTGGGTCTTTGCAGATGACATTTGAGATTCTCAGGCCGCCTGTGCATCCCTGTGCCCTACCATTTGAAAGTATCCCTGATCACAGAGTAAGGAAGGAGAGTGGGCTGAGTGCTGCCAGCTGTGTACTGATGACAGTTGTGGGCTTTTATGGGAGAGGGCTGTGTGGGATGGAAAGGCTTAGTCAGCATACCAGACAGGTCAGCCTCTTACACAGGTGATGCAGAGTGGAAGTAATGTGGGGAATAAAATTAAAGCCATTCATACCTGGTTCTAATCACTCTCATTCCATACCTCCGCTGTCTTGGGCAAGTTACTTTTCTTGACCTCTAGTTTCCTCATCGAACTCTGAAAAATCACTTAGAGAATTGGGGTGAGAATTAAATGAAATTATACATATATAAGTAAAGACCTGTACACAGTAGGCACTCAATAAATGTGAACTTCTTCCCTCATAATATCTGGATCAGATTTTTCTTCATGGGAACAAGACATCCCCAACCTCTCCCCTCACCCTTGTGGTTGGGGAAAGTACCTCGAGACGTTCAGTAGTGAGCAGTAGTAATAGGAGTGTTCTCTCATCTCCGGGGCCTTGTGAGGCATTCTGTAATGCACCAGCTCTTTCCTGACCATTGCTGCTCACAACAGTCAGAAGCCAGTGACCTTTTCCCTGTTTCACGAGTGAAGAGTAGGGGCCCACAGAGGGGTGTGGACCCACTCTGGGTCTCACAGCATGGCAATGTCTGAGCAGTCTTGGGTCTCCTGACTTTGTCTGACCAAAGCATTGCTTCAAAGTTGACTGCTTCTGCCCGGTAGCCTGTCACTTAGCTGCCTGTTCTGACACCTGTTGTGCTAGGACTTGTTTGACATTTCTCCAGTCTCTGAGCTCATCTCACATTTAAAGGCTTGAGGTAGGGCGGGGACTTGAGTCATCGTCTCCCCTGACTTTTTTCATCTTGAGCAGCAACCAGACACTTCCCCAGGGCCACTGTCTGATGGAGCTGCCACATGCCTTCAGAGTTTCCTCCCAGAAGCTCAGTGGACTTGGGAAAGGATCTCCCTGTCTCTGGGTAGAAGGTTGCTGGGGTGGCTCTGAATGTAGGTCTTCACTCCCCAGGGCTCCATACCGGGAAGCTACTGCCGGGCTAAGCCTTACTTGTGCCTTACTGTCCCCTCTGTGATACAGACTGTTGTCCCCCAAGGTTGCCTACACTGTCAGATACCACGGGTCCACGAAGTCCCACCTGGCCCCAGTTGTCAGCTCAGTTCATATACTTGCCTAAATTGTGACTTAAGCAGGTCACTTCATCTGTGGTTCAGCCTCCTCATCTATAAAATTCTGGTTCTTCGTCTTTATAGATGTCAGTTTCCTAAGCTCTGTCCCAGAGATCCTCATTTGCCAGGTCTAGGGCAGGAGTGGATCCTGTGAAGGAGTCTGAAGCTAAGAGCCTGTTGGCAGCACAGTGGGAAAAGCTGAACTGGGAGTAGCCAGCATTTAGTGATGGGCTACTCGGGCCTGTTGTCTGCCCTGGACCTATCAGTATTCTGTGCTTGGTTTTCTTCCTGCCAGAGTAGGATGGAAATACCTGCTTGTTAGTGATCCCTTGAGAAGTGATGGTTACTGCTATCAGCCTTGTTTTGGGCAGGCCTGGTTATTTGTGGCAGCATGTCACCTTTTCCAGCTGAGCCTTCCTGGCAGCAGGCACTATCAGGGCAGACCAGGCTAATGACTGTGGAATGGAACACCTGAGCAACAATGAAATCCAGTCATCAGCAGCAATTTAATGAGGTCGATGAGAGGTGTTCAGTGTGAAGGCTGCTCAAGTTCCCGGGTTTCCCAGTGCTGACTGGGGCTGCGTTTCCTGACTCAGCCTGGGCTGGATTCTGCTGCTTTCCTCTCCTACCCATTTCTGGAAGAGCCAAGGCTTCTTTAAAGACAATAAAACTGAATTTTAGAGCTAAAAGATGGTTGTTTCTTATTACTTAGTAAGGAAGCAAGCTTGGGGAGTAAGAAGGACAAGGATATCAAAACAAGGCCGATGGAGAGCCAGGTTAGGCGCTCTCCTAGTCTCCCCCAGGCCTCTTTGAGC